GGAGCTGGAGTGATTGAATTATAGGAGACGATGCGAGGAGCAAAATCTATTTAGTGGTGCTGAAGTGAGAACTGGCAGGCAGGGACAGCCGAGTGCATCAACCTCAGCGAGAGAGAGCAGTTAACAGGGGTGACTTCAGCTGTGGGACCGAGGGCAGAGGGGTGGCACAGAGGGAAGAAGAATTGGCCTGAACTTTAGGACAGCTCGGTGGCAATGCCCAGCCAGGAGTCTCATCTCCCCAAGGGAAGCGGGGAGCTGGCCTGGGCACTAGGTCCCAACTTAGATGAGAGACCTGAGGCCTCTAAGGCTCTCCCACACCCCATTGCCCTCTTCCTCTGCAGTGGCTCAGAGCTCAGGGTCATTCCCCTTCCTCCAGCAGCCCCCAGTATCACCTCCTTTCCGTCCCATAGAGAACACCTGGGGCCCCCATTGCTGTTCTCCTCTCTCTGACTTAAGATCCCTCCTTGTGGGACATGTGGACCTCCGTGCTGTCCCCTGAGAGTCACCCTGAGCAGCAGCCTGTCCCTCTGCTAATGGTGGCTGCCTCCCAGTTCATCTTCTGGGTGATGTTCGGGACTGACCAGTCTAACGCACCAGGAGCGCACAGGAGAGCCAGGTCTGCCTGTCCCCTGCCCTGGGGCAGGGGAGCCCTGACAGTAGGTCCCATCTCTAATTCTCCTCTGTTTGGCTCGGGGCCATTTTCCCGTCTGGCTCCTGTCCAGCTGGGCTCCCTCTTCCCTCCTGCTGCATGAGATGGGAGGGAAGGTTTGAACTTTGTGCCGGTGCTGTGCCCTCGCTCCCCGAGGCTCCCCAGAGCTCCCGGGCACAGGGGAGGGAATTAAGCGTGAAGCACCAAGTGCAGTACCACAGCGCTGGGCAAGGACCAGGAGTCTTGGCCACCTCCTGGGGTCCTGGCCGTAGGTGGGAGGGGTGGGGGAGAGCCGGGGAACTGCAGGAGATTCAAAGTCAAGATCAAAGCGTTTCCCTCTGAAGCCCTAACACTCTCCTTCCCTCCCACTTGCACATAAAAGCACTCTGCCCTCAGCAGGCTCTCCACTGGGGAGGGTGGGTGGAGGAGGGGGCTGCTTTCCCCCTCGCTTTTCCTGTGTTACTAATAACTCTTCCCAGAGGTGAAATGGTGAAAATCCTTCCACCCCTCCTCCCCCATACCTGCTTCTTGCCCAGATCCAAAGGGCCTGAAGCCATTTCAATGACTGCGAGTTCATGGCAGACCTGGCCTGCTCTGGGGTGTTACCAGCTGCTGCTGGCACAGGGGAGATGCAGGAGCAAAGCCTTTGAAGTGTAACAGTAGAAAGACACTCTTAGAGGCAAAGCACGAGGAAGGAGGATTGAAAAGAAAGCAGAGCAGTTTGGCCCACAGGAGGGGGAAAGGCTAATTAAGGCACAGGAGCATGGAGGAGGAGAAGGGAGAATCATTAAGATATCACAGCAGGAGCCGGTGGTGGGGCTCCGTGGAGGTTTAAGCCACGCTGAGCCTGGCCTCTGCTGTTCGCTCCCCCTCGCTTCTCCATTCCCACCCTCCACTTTGGGGCGGCGCAGGAGTGGGGACACACACACACTGTGTCAGTCAGTTCAGGTTGCTGATCCAGCTGAAAATGAGTTGGTTTAGGTCATACCCTAATACAGAGCTGAAACTCAGGATGAGAGTCTCCATTACCCCTTCCTTACTAATCATCGGAGAAAGGGCTAAAGCTCTGAAGACGCTGCAGGCTCCACTGAGGACAGGCACATATGAAGAGGCTGGAGACTGGAAACATGGGCAGGAATCAGCAGATTCAATTTTGGAAAGCCCGGGAAGGCGATATTCTTCTGCAGTGCTTCATTACGCAACATCGCACAAACCCGGCAGCATTTAAGAAAGACCCGGGATGGGAAACCCGAGGGAAAGCAAGCTGCAGAGTCAAGGCTGCAGTTTTGTGTTTCTTTCGGCGGTCACGGCAGCTGCTGCTTGTTTCAGAGAGCACCCAGGGCCACCTGCCCCCCAAAGGCACTGAAGGATGGGTTTGCCAGGCTCCCACATCCCAGCTACAGGCCAGCAGGCAGAGAGGGACCGGGAGGGAAGCGGCAGCACAGGGGGGCAGTGGGGACCGTGGGGTGGCAGGGG